TGCATTTATTATTCACATGTGTAAAGCAGATGCTAGGTTCTGTAGATGTAAGGGTCTCACTTCTCAGTGGGAATGTCTTGTGCTTACAACTTGACACTGGTAGTATACCATAGAAGAGAAGGAAAGGGGAACTAATATTTGTTGAACTCCTACTGTGGGTACACAGCACAAAGGGTGCTACAACAGCCTGCGAGGTAGTTTTAAATGTTACCATTTCGCAGATGATGGAAATTAAGATTGAATAAATTATCCAAAAGATTAAAATTATCCCAAGTTGGCATCCAGGTTCATCTGGACTCGAAAGCCTGTGGTCCTCTCTAGTGCACCAGACTGTGTCTTGGCGGGGAGTATGACTTTTTGCAACACTTTCTTATAAAACAGTTTAGAGTGAGAAGTTCCTGGAGGAGACAAGAGATTTTGCTGGGGTGGGGACTATGATCAAGGAAGGATTTATGGAAACGTGGCATTGGATTGGGCATTAAGACTGGGTAGGGTCCAGGCTGCGGTGGCTTCATTGCTGTAAAATCCTAGCTACTCCGAGGCAGAGATCAGGAGGATTGCAGTTTGAAGACAGCCCAAGATACCCAACTCAAAAAAGAGCTGGTGGAGTGGCTCAAGTAGTAGAGCACCTGCTTAGCAAGCATGAGACCCTGAATTCAAACCCAGTACCATCACCAAAAAAAAAAAAAAAATAGAATGGGTAGCATTGGGGGTAATGCTGAAAAGAAAGATATGTCTAAATTTGGAGAGATTAGTTTTTATAGGAGATTTATTTATCTGTGAGAGATTCATTTTTATAAATTTTATACATTCATTTTATAGTCTCTCCACAGAGAACTCTATAAAGGAGGCAGTGATAACGTATATCTGTTCAACAGGATTCATACTGACATTCCACATTTAATCTATACCAGTGGTGTGTAAAACTGTCAGCGGACTGTTATGGCAAAATAAGCAACTGAAGAATATGAAACAGTCCCCCAAGTAACCAATATTTAAACTAAATAGTATTAGGCTAATTTATCCTTCCACTGCCAATGATTGTAAATAGGCCCGAAATGTGGAGTTTTATTGAGCTAATATTAGTTATTAATTCTCAGGAATAAAAAATCTACAGGGCATCGATAGGATTAAGAATTCGTTCCTGTTCTGTTTCTCCTGTAGATAATGAAATGGTCTCCAGTTTGGCGTTGCAGATGTCACTTTATTTTAACACTTACTTTTTCCCACTTTGGTGGGTGAGCTGCCTTATGATGCTTCACGTGAAGGTAAGCCTGTATATTATCTCTGCTCTTCCCTGACATTTTATGTTGTCAATAAAAGTTCTTCAAGTTTTTTTCTATTTCAGGCCAGTGTTGGTGTATGTGAGATTTCACAAATGTGGTTTGCTTTTGTTTTCAGTACTCAATCCTGCCTGATTACTACAAATTCATTGTGATCACTGTTATCATCCTAATAACCTTGATTGAAGCCATCCGGTTGTACCTGGGCTATATGGGTAACTTACAGGAGAAGGTAGGCTCTTTCTCTCTTCCTTCCTGCTGCATAAATGCAGCAAGGCTTTTATGCAGTACAAGGCAGTGAGGCCAGGTGAAAAGAGCATGGGCTTGAGTTTAAGGCCTGGCTCTTAACATGACCACTTCTGCCACTGTAGTCTGTTGGCTTAATCTCTTGAGGTCTAGTTTTTTCATATATAGGATGAGGAAAACAATATTTATTTCACAAGTTTGAGATGTTTGTGTAGCTGAACAGAGTAAGCACTTAAGAATGATAGCTTCCCTCTTCTTACAAGTCTTGAAAATAATGGTCAATTGAACATGTCTGTTTAGATCCTTAATGAGAAAATAGGGGGAAATTATAAACTCTTTTCCTATCCTAGGCCCATGTTTTCTCAGTCGTCATGCTGCCTAAGCATCTACAGTATCTAGTATTGACATAATTCTGTGGATTTCTAGGTCTTTCATAATTAGGCCCCACACAGTGTACCTTGTGTATGTCTTGCCATTTCTTAAGCCAGCCTGCTATTCCAGGCAGATGTGTTGATTCTCAATTTGCTTGCTTCACACATCTGCTTATTTACCTTCTCTCCTTTTCCTCCCCTTTACTGCTTTAAAAGTCATGTACATTCTTGAAGTCTTCCTTTCTCCTACCCAAACACTCTCCTTGTAATGTTTAGCCTATACCTCTAAATGTTGCATTTAATTACTCACTAAAGTGTACTCTTCTAGGGTTTGTTCCACATTAAGTTGGTTTTCTCATCTGCACACTAAATTCTGTAAGGGTAAGGACCATGTCATATTCCTTTTGAATTGTACACCCACACTATAGGTTCAAAGTAATGCTGAGTAATTGTTTGTGTGTATAAACAAAAGACTATATTTCACTGACCTTACTATTCTTAATGTGTATCACTACAGGTTCCTGAATTGGCTGGCTTTTGGCTTTTGAGCCTTCTGCTGCAATTGCCTTTAATTCTTTTCTTGCTCTTTAATGAAGGCCTAACGAATCTGCCCTTGGAAAAAGCGATACATATCATCTTCACTATCTTCCTTATTTTCCAAGTTATTTCAGCATTTCTTACCTTAAGGAAAATGGTCAATCAGTTGGCAGTTCGTTTCCACCTCCAGGAGTTTGACCAACTCTCTGCAAACAGGGGAGACATAAGAAGGATGAGGTCATGTGTAGAAGAGATTTGATTCAGTGCTGTTGAGTAAAAATCTGAAAGAGATTCTACAAGACTGCAAGAATTGGGAAAATATCAGAGATCCAGCATGACAAAAGGGACAAAGCAAGTGTTTTGAGATGTATACTATCTAGCTCTAAAATTGCCAGGTTGGGGGCAATGATGACTTCATACAGTACATGAAAGCAGTATATGAACCTTAAAACCTAGATGTTGTTCACCTGAAGCTAAATTCCTTATTTTTTGATGTTGTTGACTTTTTCAGGTATGCAGAAATCTGTCTACTGGTAGTTGTAGTTCACCAGTTCTACTGTAATATTTTGAGTTATAACCTGTAACTTGAAATGTGTACATTTCTTTTAAACTTGTCAGTTGTCCAGATCTTGGCTGTACATCTGACCAAGTTTCTAGAAGCACATGGAAATGTTTGGTAGTCCATATGCTTGTGTATTAGACTATATTTACAAACCAAGAGACCAAATTTTCATGTATGCTAGGGTTAAATTCTAGCCCTAATCTTAGTTGTTACATAGAGGTAAAGAAGATCAAAGGTGGATTATCATGGTATTTATATTTTTGTCATAAAATTGTAACTTTCAGAAAACCATGTTCAGTATTTGTTGTGGAGGTATGCAAAATGTTTTGACAATAAATTATGAACTATTTATGTTAAAATATAGCAACAAACCATTCCTGTCTTGTGTAATTCTTTTGGGTTATGGGTTTATTTTGATTACAGAGTTGCAAGGTAAGGAGGGGGAAAAAACAAATATTAGAGAGTGGTCTATGTAGTAGGCACTGTAGTAGACACATTAAATGAAGTCTTGGTCTCATCTACTAGGTCATATTTACTGTGAAACTGCTACACACCTATTAAATTCACATTAAATTAATTTATTAAATTAATTAGAAAACCAAGGTGCCTCTTTTTCTTTCTTTTTTTTTTTTTTTGGTGGGACTAGAGTTTGAACTCAAGGCTTCACATTTGCAAAGCTGGCACTCTACCACTTGAGCCATACTTCCAGTCCATTTTGCTGTGGTTATTTTGAAGATGGGGTCTCATGAATCATTTGCCCAAGCTGACTTCAAACCATGATCCTCCTGAGCTCAGCCTCCCGAGTAGCTAGGATTACAGGAGTGAGCCACTGGTGCCTGGCCCAGTTGCCTCTTAATATAGCGAGCTAAGATGACCTAAGGAGCTATCCTCATGATCCTAAATGAACATGTTCCCTTGGGAATAGGAGAAGCCTGTTTAAGGAAATGTGGTTAAGAACAGAGTTGCTTGGGTAGATCTGAAGATTATTTTTAAGTGATTATTGGATTGTCTTAAGGACATAATACTTTTCTCAGGTGTTCTTTCCTATAGGGGGATAAATCATTATAAATAACATATTTTACTGATGAAATAGTTGCAACTACATTAAAAATTGTTCTCTCCAATTTTCTTTTTCTGCAATTTGTGCTCATTTTAAGATTTCCATGATTTGCCTTATTAATTCTTACATTGCTTACTGTCTAAAAATGTCTTTGCTTTCCATTTATTCTTATTATACCTAGCCAAACTATTAGGCTAATTTAATTATTTCTGATTTTATTATTATATATAAAAGTCAACCAAAGATTTCTCCCTTCATGAAGTGTCTGATTAATCTTTCCCCTATACCAAAGTAGTCACTATGTATGCTTGTAATAATTTGAACTTCAAAATAGAGTCCTCTTTGAATATTTTTCTAAAACTTCTATTTGTTTGCACATATTTCCCAGATAGAAATAGTTAGGAGTCTATAAGAAAACATGAAGTAAAATTAAGCCTCAATGCAGATAAATTAAGGGGAAGATCAAGAAAGTCGCTTTACTTCAACATTGCCTCCAGGGCTTTGTTTCAAATGTTAAGAGCCTCAGGCTTCAACTTTAATTTAGGATTAAGGAACTAATAACTAAAATATTATTCATAAAAATTTTTATGAAGATAATATTTTTGAGAAAATGAATTTCATTTATTAAAATAATTAATTTTGCTATAATAAATGTCTTAAAATGCAGATACAGTAGGGTAGAAAAAAAAACTAAGAATGTAAATTGAGATGATGGCCAAGTCATTTATTTTTCATCTAAATAATAACCATGATGTTTGGTATTAGGCTGAACCAATATTTTCTGTTGGAATATACCTGGTTCCCTATGTCAGTATATGAAATGGGCAGAGGAGATACTTACATGTCAGCACATTTAAGGTCTAGGAAGTCTTTTCATGATTTTGCTAGATTATGTTGTGTATCCTTAAGTCTTATGTATCCATCTCTTCAGGAATTCATGATACTGTTCTGAAAATTTCTAGTTAAGATACTGAGCTTCATAAATATTTTGTCCTCCACATAGTTTCAGTTCCAGAGGCTATTCCTCATTAGAGGCAAGTTAGGTGTGCATTTCTGTGAATCAAAATAGATTTAAAATATTGAAGTTTATTAATTTAACATATGCTTGAATGCATGCCTACTAAAGGAAACCAGACAATTTATGAGAGACAAGATGGGGTCTCACCACTCAGGAGAGTAATGTGGGAGGTAAAATATTTGGATCACAATCTTAAGACAAAGTAGAAAAGGAAGTGCATGAATGAGTTACTACCTTGAAAGTACCTGACAGAGAACAAATCCTTGACTTCCAGTGTGTCTCCCCTCTGTGTTCCTAGCACCAAGCATCCAGGATTAGCATGTTAGCCATTCATTAATATCATTAGCATACTCCCTGCTCCACACTGGAGGGGAGGGGTTGGTCTTGAGGTTAAATCGTGCACACACTCATTCCCACCACTCCTGTACAAACAGGAAGTTTACTGTCTGGTAGAAAAGGCAGGTAAGTGAATCAGTGATCACACAGTGTGGTGAGGTACTGTGGGATTACAGAGATGGTACATCTAAATGGGATAGGAATCTGGAAAGGCTTCCCACAGAATGCTACATTTGAGATTTGAAGAATGAGTTAGAAATAGAGTAGTAGTCACTCGAGTACTGTTTCAGGTATCACAGTAGTTTGGTGAAGTCAGTAGAAAGAGAAGAAATGACACAAAATAAGGTAGAGAACTTTGGAAGGGTTGTAAGCTAAACTAAAGATCTGAATATTCTGAATACCTGAATGATTTAAATGATGGAGGATCACAAATGGATTTGGATTTCAAAAAGGTCTCTCTGAAGACTATGTGGGAAATGGACTAAAAGGGTTGGATTAGAGGTAGAGAAATGAAGAACTTGATGGAGTAAGTTAGGAGAGAATATAAGTCAGCCTGGATCAAGTCAGAGGCAGAAAAGTAAACCTGAAAACAAAATAGCACCTACTACAGTTTAAAAAAAAATTCTGTACTGGGAGTTTTCCTAATTAATTCTTTACAAGATGACTACAATGGTAGACAAAACGGACATGTTCACTGTCTTGCTGCCCTTCCCAGTTATTACATTATTATACTTACATAGAACTCTACCTGAAATAGTTTTTTATAAGTTATAGTTGACATAATTTACTTAAAAGATTTTCATTTGAGTCAGTCAAGATTATAGGTTTTATAATAATGAAAACCAGGAAAAATAGGCACAGCGTGTGCAGGGGTGTGGGGGGGTTTACTAGTGGGAGGGGGAGGTTGAAGTTAGGAGATTAAGGTGACGGTATATGGCAGATGGACTTCATATACCTATATGAAACAGAACTAAGAAACCTCTTGCAATTGCTTTAAGTGGGGTGGGGAGGGGGTTGGGGGGAGAGACGATGGGGAAAATGTAAATAATGTACAGTATAAATCTAATTGGAATTGTCACTATGAGTCCCCCCATATAATGAATATATCATAATAAAAATTATAAAAAATTACAGGTTTTAAAAGCTTAAATAAAATCACATTATTTTGAGAGTAAAAAAATCATCTTTCTACGACCCTAAAATAGCAACTATTAGCAAATGTCATGTTTTCTTGAATGTCTTCCTTTGTAAATGCTTTTTTAAAGACCGTTGTGAGCTGGTTGTGCTGGTACATGACTGTAGCAGGGAGGCAGAGGCAGGAGAACCATGAGTTCAAGGCCAGCCTGGGCTATCTAGGAGACCCTGTGTCAAAAACTAAGATAGATAGATAGATAGATAGATAGATGATGGACAAATAGGTTGATAGATAATAGATAGATAGAAACATAATTGTGATCCAAAGCACTTACATGTTGCAACCTGCTTTTCTGAAAACATAAGTATTTACCCATGTCTCTATAGTCATAAAACCATCATCTTAAAGAATTATAACTATATCAATATATACATGTATGTACATGTGCATATATATATCATTCTAATAAACATTTTGCGCACATAATTTTACCTCTCTTAGGTGACTCTTTTGAATAATAAGCCAGATTCTCAGAAGTGAAATTGCCAGGTCATGAAGTATAAAAATTTTTAAGGACTCTTGATGTATATTATCAAATTGTTATATTCACCCACAACTCTAAAACTAGTACAACAAAAATTTTGACATGACAGACTCATGGACTTTAGTTATCCATTCATCTTTGTATTGCTGAGTACCACCACAGGAATACTGAGTCTCGTGAGGAGAAAAAAAATCTAAAAGCTGTGAAAGGAGAAGTGCAAACAATAAAAAAAAAAAAAAGATTTTTGAATTAAGGGAAAACCGATAAGGGGCAGAAAAAGGATTAGGCAAGCTGGTCGCAGTCAGCAACTGACAGTGAGATGTGACAATAAAAACTGGGTCATTGAGTTGGGACAGCCCTAGGACATAAAAGGACTGAAATGAAGTAAAGCTCTGGATTACTTTGTTCTTGAATATTGAATTTTTCAGAAGCATGGAGCATGAAATATTATAGTGATAAGCCTAGATTGGAAACATAGCCAAGAAAAAGAGGTCTTTAAGGGATTGTTTAAAATGTGCTGAAGGAATAATTTGGTTTGGTCTTAAATGGCTCAAAAAGTAAATTGACATAAAGCTTTTGCATAGCAAAATAGGCATGGAGGCAGAAAACAATGAGGCAAGCAGAATAGTTTACCCTGTAAATTTGTTAGCATCTAAAGTATTTGATTTTGGTCATAAGAAAGGTTATCAGAAGATGTAACTGCTGTATTTACAAGTGCAATTAATACTAGCTTGTTATGGGTATGTATCTTTATTTTAGCTTTAAGAAACTTGATTTTTGGATTTTAAGTCAGTAAAAAACGAAATAGCTACTAGGCATTGTAAGAAGCCTTTGAAATAGATTTCCCCCATGGTGTTTAAACATTTAAAAACACTCAGACCCTGGAGAAATGTGCTTAAAATCAAGTTAAGCCACAAGATTTAAATTTCTTTCTGAAAATGAGGCTAGGCATCAGTGTGAAATGATTTTACACCAAAGTTAAGAAAGGCCAAAACTCCCAAAACAGGATACAAACCAGGGGATAACATGGAGCATATATCCTTTGAAAAGTCAAAGATATTTGGAAACT